ACTTTTTGGCTCCTGTCCAATTAGCCATCCTTAAGTTTGAGGTGAAGTCCTCCACGTCCTATGAGGTGTCTTTTTACCCAATTGAGGAGAGAAACTCCTGGGCTTTTTTCCTTTTTAAGGAGACAAAGGATAGTTTGGTCACTCCACCAACAAGGAGCACGCTCCCACATCTCTGCTGTCCCCTGGGCCTGTGCCCACCCTGCAGGGGCCAAAGCCACCCCTGGGAGGTGACACCGGGCACTTCTCCAGGCTGGGGGCTCCTGGTGCTGCTGAAGGGGGAATCCAGCAGGCTCCATGAAAATTATGGCCCACAGGTGGGAGGAGAGGTGGTGAGCCTGGAAGGGATCCCAGAAACGCTGAGTGTTCCAATAATTGTGCAGAATGCTCATGCAGAGCAGCCTGCTTGGAATGGGGCTTTGGAGGGACTGCCCAGGGCCTGCAGTCCTGTCTGGAAGGTAAAAACTTCTTGCTGGTGACAAACAGGCAGGTATGGCAAGTCTCCCTGCAAATCCCCTGTGTGGGAGATCAAAAGAGGATCTCACAAGGCTTTATTAACTTGTAAACTGTGATTTAAGGGAATTTGAAGCAGCACATGAAAGAACAATAATGAACAAACATTTTCAAGTGGCAAAAATCTGTCCCTGCCATATGTTTCACTGACTCATCCCTTCTGCAGAAGGGGATCTGGAATTGTTTGAGCTATTCCAGTCACTGATGCTTTTTATTTGGGGGGAAAATGCAGTACTGGATCCTTCACTGGGTGAGCAGAGACCTGATCCCTCTAAAGCTTTGGGCACAGGTTAATCCAAGGGTGGTTTGGCTTGGAAAGGACATAAAGATCCTGCACTTCCAACCCCACAAATGCCCCTGTGTGTGTTAGTGCTGGGCAGAGGCCGCACCTGGCCGTGGGCTCTGCTGCCAGGATGAGACAGGAGATAATGTGGAGAGCTCAGAACTCCTTTCTCCCCCTGCCATGGTGTCCTAGGGTGACGTTGTGATG